GGGATAGGCAAGAAATTTCAAATTTCTGAAAGGTTGAGATATCGAGGCATGGAAAGTTTTGCATGCGCCAAAAAATAAAACGAAAAATTTTAATAATGCGCGTAAAATTATTTTCGTGTTTCTTTATCGATTGAGCAAGGAGATTAAAATATTCACGAAAGTATCGGGGAAATTGCAAAATCGTGCTTTCTTCCAGTTTCAATAACTTTTGTAACAAAGATAGATCGGTGTTAGATGAATATAGAAATTTAAATTTTGATGTACAGAATTGAAATAAAAATCTTGTTTAGCTATCTTATGTCTTTTTTCTTATATCATTTAAATTTTCCACAAATCTATGAATATTCACGGATCTAAAATGATCGATGTATTAAAAATTCTTCTAAGAAACTATCAGTAATTAATAATTAACTATTTATTTTATTTATTATATAAATGATTATAATTAAATTGATGTCACGAAAATAAATAGATACACGCAATTGTCTCGATAAAATGCAATGTTAATTTTTAAAAATATTTTCATATATTCTCCATAAAAAAATAAAAACCATTATTTTAACAATTTCCTTGTTTTAAAATTAAATACAGTATCACTGAGTGTTATCATTGTATCAAAAGTTTCCAAGAATTTTTAACACGATTTCACGCGATAATACGAATTAATTATTCGCTAAAAAAAAAAGAAAAAAAAAAAAAAAAAGAAATCGAAAAGAATTTCGTTAAAACCAGCTTTCCCTCTCCCATTAAATCCTCTGATAATAGCAGAGACTTTTCAAACTACTTATACAAACCTTAATCCCAACGCGGCGAACGCTGTGTACAACTTTAAAGCTGCACCAAATAACATTGTTCGCAACCTCTATATTGTTTCCACCGAGTGTCCTCAACTAAACCCAGTGTCCTCAAACTGTAATCCCTTCCTTTTCAACGCCCGGTATTTCCACAAGTGCGCGAAGATGTTATAGGGGGAGGGGGAAACGAGGTACCTTTCACCTGATCCCGACAAAATAACTCAATCTCGAAAGCAATCTGAGCAAGTAAGCAAATGCTTAATTAACCGGGTGCTACCTATTACAACGTGGTTTGCTTCCGTGTTTAAAGATTAGCGATCAAATTTGACACGCTTCTCGTTACGTGTTTATTTAGAATATCTGATATCTGCGGTAATTGGCTTATTTTTTTTTCTTGCCAATCAAAATAGGATAAAATATCGAAAGATATTTGCTCTTCACTAATTAAAAATCAGAAACGAAGACTAGAAAATAAATTCTTTTGTGAGAAGAAAGTATTTATCAGAATAACACGTTTCGAAAATGACGAATTTTATTGGGAAAAGTAGGATGAAGAAACGAGATATCAAAGATATTTTTAACTAATGAAGAAATAAAAAAAAAAAAAAGAATTTAAAAATGATTAAAATTTTTCTTCCCATAAGAATTATAACCTATTTTTATCGCCACTAAATATTCCATATTCCCGTGAGTAATTTATCTTTCAACGAATGTCTTAAGGGATCACTTTCAAGAACGAATCGGGAACACCGAAGCTGAAAACCGTGCTCGTAATTCACACTGTACCCCTAAACGACCCGACTATATACCATTCTCGTATCGCCATTGTCGAACCGAGCACAGTAGAGACGAGGCGAAATCTCAAGAGGAAACGATGGCTGGCCTTGTGTAGTTCGTCTTTAATCCACAGATACGAGATGGTAAATAGTTGAAGACAGAACTTTTGTGGGGAACCGTTGCACCGTAACGAAACGGAGCCTATTATCGGTAGATGAATGGCGAGAGCCGGGTTTTTTTGCCGGGATGCGTCGTCGCGACGCCCTCGTCGCGACACCGGAATTGGTGAACATCGAGGAAAGCTGAATCACCGTTTTCCATCATGCGAACGGAGTATTAATTGCCCGTGACAATTGCGATTTAGTCAGTCTTAATTGATAATAGCTAATGCCGAATAAATGGGAACCGGTACGAGTAATTAAATCAACCAATCGTGTGCGAATCAATCGCGGATCCATTTACCATTCTCGTGTATCCTCGTTAGAAATGTGATCGAATTTATCCATTGATAAGATGTTGATATATTCGTAAATTATTTTTAAAAAATTAATTCTAGACGCCGAAACAAGCATAAAAGTTGATATGCAAAATTGGCGGTTGAGACTTATTTATTAAGTTATGAGCAATTTAATTTTACGCTAAAAACGCTTCTAGACAAATAACGCCAACAGTATCGTATTACAGTGGCGTTTAATTAAAATCTCTAGGATCGGAATCAACGAAAATTTTAAAAACGATCAATGTTATATCATCGCATCATTTTAGATTAATTATTTTGAATTTGATTATTTAGATCTAAAAAAAAATATATATATATAAATTTCTATTATAAATAATTAATGAAAAAAAATTTTTCTCTTATTGAAATGAATATAATGAAATGAAATATGAAATAAAATCTTGATACTTGAAACTTGTGAAATAAATTGTGAAATAAAATTTATGATACCTTATTTATATATATATATAAAAAAGAATCTCTAAAAATGTTTAAAATGGCAGATATAGTTTCTTTTTTTGATTTCATTTTTATTTTTATTTTTTTTTATGGTTTCGAAATATATAAATATATGCAATTTGTGATTTGAATTGAACAAGCAATATAACTAATGATTTTTTGTACAAAATAAAATACAAACATAAAATTGAATTTTCCATGAACAAAGGAAAAGAAAAATTTTATGGAAAAATACGTTGGAACTGAGTTTAAGTAAATACTAGTTCGACGAATTTTAAATCTGAAAACTATCTGAAAACTATCTTAAAATAAAATCTAGTTTTGAAAGAATGTATGTTATGCTGGAATAAAATATATTGTACCTTTTGTAAATTTGATTTTACATAAATTCATTTTTAATGAAATCTATGTGAATAAATTAAAAAATGATAAAAAAAGAAAGAAAAACAAAAAAAAGATAAATATAGTCACTTATCGAGATATTTCGATGTAAATATAGAGAAATATGAAATTTTTTCTACGAAATTGAATAAGCAAACAATGATAAAACAAGATTTATTCGAGGCAAGTTAAATTAGATTTTATTCTCATTTTTTCATTGTATCATTAAAAATAAATTATTTACTTACTTTCGACGTGTCAAAAACCAACAAAAAGTGCAATAAAAAAACTCACTCTGACTATGGTATCATATAACGTGAGATCAACGTGAACAAAAAGAACGATTTTGCAACCAGTTCCATTTTCTCATTCGATCGTTTCATCGAGAATACACAACGCGCGAGGGAAAAATATATTTTTACGCTACGAGAACGCGAAAACCGTGAGAGAAAAATACGCCACGTTAATCCATGTGATTTTTCTCTTCTACTCTCCTCGATCGACACACGCTTCAGTGAAAATGATACGCAGATCCGGTGAAAATGCTCGGAAAAACTCGATTGCCTTAAAGTTCCATAAACACAGTGATGTAAACATCAAGTAAGAACGAAATTCCGTTAAACATTTCGTAAAAACGATAGAAAAAGCGACGCTCTCGAAATTCGTTTTTTTTTCTTTACAAGAGAGATACACGCGCGCCCTCTATCGCGCCAGCTTCTTTAGACGCACTAAATATTAATAGTCGAGAATTACTTCGAGAACTAAGTTAGCGGACTGAACGATTAAATGTTTCTATCTAGGTGGCATTGCTGTTGTCTTTTTTTACTTCGATAAAAGATTGAAAACCAGACCAGAATTGAAATTATTTATCAATTTTATGAAAACATTTTTTTAATTAGATAAGAAAAAGATTTGATAAGTCCATTTTTGTTAATTTTCTGTTTTTTGTGAAAAATGAAGAACAGAATTATTTTTATACTGAGTAAAATAATTAGAATAATATCTAAGATGATTATGAATAAAATACTTACTTGTTGAGAATAGTTAAAAAAAAATACATATATATAATAAGTCAATTACGAAATTGATATTTCTCTATTTTGAAGAAAGTTGCGAAAACGAATTATTTATTAATGTATTATTATAGTTTTATTTAATCATTTTTAATTAATAAATAAATCATAATATTTTAATTTTTGAAACGATGAAAATACTTGGCTTAGTTAATTTCTCTTTTTCCTTACTTCATAAAATTTATTTTTAATAAAGAAGAGTTAATAAAATTGCAAACTTATTTATATTATATTACGAATTATATTATGTATTTATATATTTTGTTTTGTTTTTTATTTAAAATTTTCACCGTTCATAACTATTTTAATAATTAAATATATTACAAGTTAAAATAAAAAAACATTTGTATCCTAAAATAACGTTTCATACTTTTCTAATTAACGAAGAAATAAAAATTATAAAAATGCATACTATACCACGAAAATCTTTAAGTTTTATAAAAATAAAAAAAAAATATGAAATAAAATTTATTTGTTTGCGATTTAATCTTCGTAAAAATCAAATTTAAAAATCTATATATATATTTATAACTAAAATATAATTCATGTATCTTAAATATCTTAAATAAATATAAATAATAAAATTAATTATAAAAGAAAATTTAAACATGATTATGTTTAAATCATTAATGTTTAATGCGCATAATTCTATGCATATCAGAATCACCATAAAATAATAAAAATTAAATTATGTTTTTAATAATTTGAATTTAAAATTTATTTTTTTATTTTATTGTTATAATGTTGAAAAAAAATCTAGCAAAATCAATGCAATCTTATATTAAATAATGTAATAAAAATATATTGAATGTATATTGTATTCTATTTGTATTATGCATACGTTATTTTTTGCATTAAAACATTTAAAATTATACAATATAATATAAAATAGATAAATAATAATATCTATTTATATTATATTTACTTATTAATTATATATATTTTATAAATATATATAAAATAGATATAAAAAGTGAAAAAAATAAATGTGACCAATAAAAATAATTATTCACTTACCAACTGCAGTACACACGCCCAAGATTCTTGTTAACGTTGATAGATGAGTGCCGGTATTTCTAACGTATGTGAACATGCCGCTAGATTCTGATGATACGTTAAAATCCTTCATTTGCGTCACCATGTGGTAAATAATAAATAATATATTTGTTATTTAACGTAAAAACACTCGCAAGTTAATAAAAATGATTATAAAAATGTTTAAAGCGTAATAAATAACACGGTTACGTTTAAATAATATACATATTAATTCCAATATACAACACTACGTCCACGCACTTTCGAAGACCACGCGTAACTGAAGGCATAAATTCTACCGGTGAAAGCTTATCCCCGCGCTGACATTCGCGCACGCGCAATTTAATCTTAATATACAAATCTTTCCGTCGCGTATTTATATTTTATAATTTTTAATATTAAATATAATATTAATATAATCAATATTTTTATATATATATTTTTTTACTGGATTTTATATTAAAATATTATATCCATATTCAATAAATAATAATAATAAAAAAAAAACATTATAATCAAATTTTAATATTTTTAAAAATGATATATCGTTACTTAAAAATATATATCATTATTAAAAAATGATAAATGATAAAATTAAATATAATATTAATAAATTTAATATAATATTATTAAATTTAAATTTTATATCATATATAAAATATGAGTAAAAGTACATTTAATGTTATGAATTATTATATATTTACAATAAGCACGACCAATACAGATGTGTGCGTTACAAAAATATATTTATTTGCGCACGTAAGCGTGTGCATTAAACAACAAATAGACATTAAGTGAGGTAGACATAGTTACAACAATAAATTCGCTTCTGAAACAACAAGAGTATTTAAAATATACATTTTTATAATTAGAAGACTAGTTCTTATTATTTTTAACATAGTGTTTAAATATTTTTTTTATTTATAGTGCAAAACATTTCTTAAAATTAAAGTATATTTTAATACTGTAATATAATGACATATCTTATTATTATTTAACAATAACGATGTATTTATATATCATATAAAATGTACTTTATATACCATTTGAATTATAAATGTTATCTGAACTTTTAAATCATTGGTTTTAATAAATTGTAATAAAAAAATAAATAATTGAATTTTTATCATACATCATTATTATATCACAAACAATAATGAATTTTCACTTTATAATAAATATATAAAAGGAAATTAATTTAAATATAAGAAAGAAATATAATTTTTTTTCAATTACATGGTCCACGCTTTACCCAGTCATTATTTATGTAAAACAATGAAATACAATTTAAATTTACAAAGATAAAAATAATCTTACAGAATTTATAAAATCGATTTTTTTTCTAACTATCAAAATTATTGTAATTCATTATAACTTTGTTTTTGTTTGACTTCTCTTCTTTTTTTTTGTACTATTTCTAGAGATGTTTTCCAAACTTGTAGTTGACATGTTTAATTTAGGAGATTGTCTAGGAGTTATCTGTTTCCCTTGAATTTCTAAACTTTCATAATTATTATGAATTGTTTGTGCAGAAACAGGCAAAGAAGATCGAGAAATAGGACTTAAAGGTTTTTTATTACGGGATAATACTACTGATGATGTTAAAGATCTAAAATTATAAAAACAATATAAAAAATATTCGTTATAGCTAAAAATATTCTTAATATTTTCTAAATACCTATTTTTACTATTCGGAAGTCGTGACATATCTAGAGGAGCAAGCTTTACATTTTTTACCCATACAGCAGGAGAAACAGGAGTATGCCAAGAAGATTGGTAATTCGAAATTTTTGAATTTTTTTCGGAATTTTTGAAATAATTGATATTTTTATTTGAACCTAAAAAATATAAAATAACATTTATTAATAATATTAAAAATTTTTTAATATTCATTTATACATTTTTAATATTTTATATGTAAAATGCAATATTACAGAAAAAAATCATATACTTTGAAAAGTAGAAACTTCTAGAGATTGTGCCATGAACTTAATTGGAGTAGTTCTTATAGTAGAAAAACTTTCTCTAGTTGATAAAACATAAGGCACAGGACTAACTACAATCTTTTCATTGAAAACTGTTCCAAGTTTATTTCTACTAGTATGTGGCCTAGAAAACTTGTCATCCATGATGAATTCATCCTTTTCATTCCTTATTCTATCATTATTCATAAAATTATCATATTTTCTATAAATAAATAAATTATTATAAATAAATGTTTTTTATTTCTATTATGAAAAATTATGAAAAATTTCTATTTTACTTTTTTTATTGTAATATTTTTTATACATACTTTTGAATTTCTTGCATGTTTGTTTGAGTAACATCTTTTCTCATAGATAAAATATGATCTTCTACAGATTTACCACTATTATTTGAAAATTTATTTTCAAGAGGAATTGTTTCTTCAAACCAATTTATCTTTGAACTTTTTGCAGAACTTTTATTGCTATGAATAGATGCCATACGTATTTGTAAAACATCATTAAAATCATCATGTAATGAATCAATTTCATTTTCTTTTTTAGGAAACAACTCTGATATTACATATGCATAAAGCATATCAAGTATTTCATCTTGTGCAGTTTTCTGTAATTTATGCTTGGATGAATTTTTTCTTTCCTACAAATAGATTATATAATATGACTATATAAAAATATAAAATTAAAATTATCTTATAAGAACAGAAAGATTTATAATATCAATGTTATATGTTGTTATTTTTCTATTAATTTATATTATATGATATATTCTTTACCTTTATTGAAATATTATGTTCCAAATATGTATCTTCATTATGAGAAATATTTTTCATTTGATTATGATTTATGTTCAAATCTTGATAATTACTTTTAGAAAGAAATGGATTTTTTCCTATTATTCTTAAATGAGGTATTTGTGTTTTCCATTGTATACATTCTTCCAAAACAGCCGTTTGAGTTACTTGTTCACCATCTTCATATAGTGTATTTTCAATAGTCTCCCACTGCTGCATAACTTTTCTTGTTGCAATATTTTCAATTTCTGATGAACAAAATATATCTGTTGCATTACTATTCCAATCAGTTGATAAATTGTCATCAACATCTTTCCAAGTTTTCTTCTTTTGTAAACTTGGTAATTGAAAATTATCACTTGATTCATTTTGATTATTTTGATAATCTTTCACTCTTGATAAGTTTTCAGATTTTACATTTTGTGTTAATCTATTAAAATGTAAACGATTTCTTTTTAAATAAACTTTATAGTTTTTTATATTTAGAAATACGAATTGAAAAACAAAAATGGCTTACAAATTATATTTAAATCTGAACATCTAAATTAAATTAATAAGATATTATTATAAGACATACGTGTTACGTTTAAGTTTCCTTTTATGCATTTCATGCTTCTTAAAAAAGTATCTTTAATCAACTAATTTTTAAACTTATTTTTAATCATTTATCTAACAATCTTTTCGCCGTACTTATAACACAGAACCTATACAGATCACAGTAATTTTATTGATTATTTTTTTAAAACAAGGTTTTCAGTTCAAACCTTAGAATTTAAATCATTCTACTGTTGTCATATTATAAATGATTTATTAATTTCCTTGATAAATTCAAAAACTAAGACTTTACCATCAGATAACATCTGATCGATTAAAATTTATGTCCCACAATTTATACTTTATTCAATCTCATATATGCTAGTTCTAATTGTGTATTCATTATTATAGTAACTGAAATTATAAATTTTTCTATAAATTTAATTTCAAAAAATAAGAATATAAAACATCATATTTAAAGTGAAATAATAATAATATTGCTTTTTAAGATATATAATAATTATTTATTTTATGCTTTCGGTTTTACCAAAAACGAAAAGCGTAGTTAGTGAAAAGCTAGATAGCATAGTTGGTGAAACTGTTTCTATTTGAAAGGAAAGAACTATTTCAAAAGCTTCATTTAACACAAAAACGAGAAACAGATTATGTGATAATTAAGATGATCAAATTTAAATAAATATCAACATATATGAAATGATTAAATTGCATATATTTCTAAATAATTTAAATATAAATATTTAATAATTATAAAATTTATATAAAAAATATTATATAAAAAAAATTATTTTATACAACTTTTAAATGCGAATTTAAAAAATAGTATTCATATGTATTTATAACATTTTTAATTTAAACAATAATTTTAAAATTAATAATACAATTACTTATATTAACAATAAATACAATATACAGGATTTATTTTTCGTAATTTTATTATTTTCATCTTATTATGAAAAATAAAATAAAAATAATGAATCATTACATTGTACTTAAAATATAGAGTATATATATTTTTAAAAATTTTAACAATTTATTCTAAAATATACTGTACATAATTAATATATATTTAAATATAATAAAATTTAAAATATACAATATCATCTGGAATTTTGCTCAAATTTAGCATTTAATGACATATGAGCTTTTGTACATTTTTCATTTCCAGATCGCATAGGAGATTTGAATTCTAATGATACTCGTTTGGAGCTATTATTAAGTATAATTGGAGATAGACTACATGGTTCACCATAATGTTGTAATTTTTCAAGTCTTTTTTGTATAGCAATAGATTTTGCTGGTTGATCATTCAATAAATTTCTTTTTAAAAATTCTTGACAAGCATGATCATTAAATTGTTTGTTAATATTTTCTCCTGATGCAGTTTTTTCAAGATTATTTGCATCCAGTATAAATTTATCTGAAATTCTTATCATTGGTTTTTTTTGTATCTTCTCTGAAATTTCTTTTGCACAAGTATCTATATACATATTGACATCCTTTAAAAATATAATTATTATATTATTATATCATAGGCATAAATTGTAATTTAGTTATTTAAATACTTATGAATTTATTATATTAAGAATTTCTAATATTTTTTAAATGTTTACCTTTATTAAGTATTTTAAATTTTCAAAAGGTTTTTGAAGATGATTGTGTCGAGGATTGCGCGTGAAAGTACTTCGTTCTGTACAATATGCCATTGGTATATCCCATGTTGTAGCACGACGCCATTCTAAATTAGTACAGGCAACAAAAGATCCTACAGTCAATATTTCTGTATATCCATAAAAAAATATTCCATGCCAAAACAATATTGATAAATATGAAGATTGAGAATCCATATGTGGATATGCCAAATATACAGCTTGAAAATTTTTCATACCCTTTAAAATAA